TATAGGTGACTTGATGCTTTTCTCTTTCTGCTTTTAGAATTCTCTTTGTCTTTGAGCTTTGCAAGTTTGATGATAATGTTTCTTGGAGAGGATCTTTTTTTCTTTTTTTCCTTTTTGTCTTTTTTCGTGACTGGCAATGGATCGCAACCCTCAGTGTCACGCCTGTACCGGACCGGGACCGGCAACGGGATCGCAACCCTTGGTGTTGCTCCCGCACCTCGCTCAGCCAGTGAGCGGCCGGTCTGTACGTGGGATCCGAACCCTCGGCAGGAGCGCCGCCGCGCTCCCAAGCGGCGCACTGTAGCAGTGCACCACCGGGCTGGCCCCGTAGAGGATCTTTTTGGATTGAATCTGTTAGGGGACTTTTGAGCTTCCTGAATCTGAAGGTCTGCATCTCTCCCTACTCCTGGTATGTTTTCTGTTATTATTTCCTTGAATAGGTTTTAAATACGTTTTCCTTTCTCCTCTCCTTCAGGAATACTCACAATTTGGATGTTAGAGTGCTTGTGGTTGTCTGCCATCTCTCTTAGATTTTCCTCATTATTTTTAATTCTTATTTTCCTTTTCTTGTCTGCCTGGGTTATTTGAAAAAGACCATCTTGGAGATCTGAAATTCTTTCTCCTGATTGCTCTAGCCTGCGGCTTAAAACTCTCTGTTGTGTTTTTTATTTTAATAAGTGAATCTTTCATTTCTAGGAGTTCTGCTACATTCTCTTTTTAAGGTATTTATCTCTTTGTAAATTTCCTCCTTCATATTCTGGATACTTTTTCTTGTTTCCTTGTGTTCTCTAATTGAGTCTTCTTTTATTTCTTCAAGCTTTCTTAAGATCATTGCTTGGAATACTTTTACAGACATTTCAAGGATTCCTTGTTTTACAGGGTCTGTAATTTGAGCATTACTGTATTCCTTTGGTGGTGTCATATCTTGTTTGTCTGTAGTTTTTATATTTTTTCATTGATGTTTGGTCATCTGGTAGAGGACATGCTTCTTGTGTTACTCTGGGGTTGGCTACGAGGTAAAGACTTCCTCCTCTGTTTGCAGGCTTGCCTGGTGACTCTTCTTATAGCAATGTAGTCAGGTGAATGGCAGGTTGCCTGTTGTGTGGCCCTCACTGGTACTGTGGTGAACTATCCTTGTGGTGACAGAAGGTGTGTCATTATCTATGTTACAGCAGCCTGGGTCCCGTTCTAAGTTTCTGTGGACTGAGCCCCTGGTGCTGTGCAGGTCTCAGCTCACCTAGCTGCCTGCTGGG